GTGTAAGTGTGCTCGGCCAAGGGAGCCTCAAGTTGCTGAGTGAAGGCTCCTTTCCACTTTCTTCCTATCTCCGTATTTTTTACCTCAGTTTAAAATGTGGACATAAGCGGCCAAGTACAGGGAGACAGGTGCAGCAACAGCCAAAGTCATAAGTCCCCCAAATAATCTAAGTGTCGCTTTACAAGTGCAGTATCACACACAGTTGCTGCTGAAAAGCGCAGCCCAGAGTCCCTCCACCATCAGCCACGCAGTCCCTTGCTCCCATTTTTCGACATCAGCAGGAATGCCAGCACAGTCAAACTAACCAAAACGCTCATCTGAAATAAAAAGTTCTCTGCATGGCTGGGAGAAATACTGGTGCACAGGAGACGGCAGGAACATGTGGCAGGAGAGCTGTGGGACGCCCCCCACTGAGCAATACACGGTGTTAGATTAAATCATCCACGAAATTGCACCTGAAAGGTGTGGTAGGTGTCTAGGAACACCATGATTTTAACAGACATTTGCCTCAGCCCCAGAAAAACTGAGAGGTCACTTTGAGCTGCTTTTGACACTTCTCTCTTTGCCTGCAACTCAGACAGGAATGTGGTTCTTGCCCTGGGATGAAGAAAGCCAACGTGCATGTTCTGCAGCATAGCCAAGGCCCAGAGGATCCCCTGTTCTACCCAGGGGCTCCCAAGCTAGTATCATCGTATTCTGGCCTGGAGTACCTGCACACACAGTGTACTGTACAGGAAATCCAAAGCATATGGAAGGGCATTGGCTGCATGTGCTCAGCCCAGTTCATCAGTAAGGGAGGAAGGGCAGCTCTGCTCTTGGGGATCCCCAGGAGGACTTTGTAAACCTTGATAAGAATCATAGAATCATAGAACAGTTAGGGTTGGAAAGGACCTCAAAATCATCTAGTTCCAACCCCCCTGCCATGGGCAGGGACACCTCACATATATCTTTGTCTTGTTAATATTGTCTTAATGAATAACCTGTACAGTTCGCTTGTACAACAGTACCCTCTGAAATGTCCATTTCATTAAAAGCATGTATACACACTACAGACGGTCTACAGCATTATCTGTTTAGGTCCTCCACAGGTGAAGTGTCAAAGCTGGTAGGAGCAAGGCCATTGTGAACTGCGGTTCTGCCAGTCCTGCTCCAGCCACAGAACCTGGAACTGGAGTCAGCATGGACTTGCAGAAGTGGACTTGTGTCCTCTGGTGCCATTATGTTTAGGGCTGGAGTTGGGGATCTGAGTGTCTTCCAGGCTGGAACTTACCAGAATCCTGCCTCACCTGGAAACCTGGCACATGGGGTAGGAACAGGACAGAGCTTGATCCTGGCCCTGGGAGCTAGGAGTCTTTTTCTGTGCAGCAGATACAGGTAAATTTAGGCCTAGCATTTGGGAAGTGAAGGTCTTCCAAGCTGGGACTCAGCCAGAATCTTGTTCCATCTAGGGAAGTTTTGTTTTGATTTTAAAACCAGGTCAGATCTGTTGTGTAACGCATCCCATAAATGGCTGTACTGGAGTAACCGAGAAGTTGGTATTGCATAGATGTGGGTGGGAGTAAGGGGCAGAACATGAAGGTACATTTTAACTGGTTTTGCTAGTGAACTCCATACAACAGGCCAAAAATAAATATGGCAGCAAGAGACATTACTTTCTAAGAGGTTAGCTTTGGAGAGAAGTAACTGAGATAATAGACTAAAGATGGAGCAAGGAGAAACAACTTGTTATCTGGAAGAAGGGGATTCAAATATTTGTTAATTTCTCCTACTTTGTTCAACATAACAATGTTATTGTATCTTACTTTTTTTTTTTTTCCTTAAGGAAGGAACTGTCAAACCAGGAAAGCCTGAGAGTCCTTTTTTTCTTTTTTTAAACTCTATTAAGAAACCACCTAGAGTAGGTCGACAGTGTTTCAGAATCACACTTGAAAATAGGAGTTTGCATGCATTCTTTATGACTTAGTAGGCAGGATCCTAAGAAATACTTGTTTTTCTTCTCCTGAGAGATTAACCCCTCAGAAAGCTGAATATGTTGGGCCAAAAGGAACAACAATAAGCAGAAAACTTGAGAGGGAAAAAACCTCCCAAAACCCAAACAAAAAGGCCATAAAAATGAGGAGGAAAGGATATAGTATGGAGTAATAAGATCTAAGAGAAAAAAAAAAACACACAACAGTCTAGAGAAACAGAACAGATGTAAAAGAAACAAAAATCAGTATAAAAGTTTTCCTAGTTCAGTAGGTACAAAGTGACCTGATACACAACATTCAAAACATTAAATTACAGTATCTTAATTGAACATAAATTTCCCTTACAGACAACCTCAGTTGGCTCTTCTGCCTCTCCTGTCTTTCACTGTGATTGTGCTGAGAAACATATTCCTACTGTTTTCCTCTTTTTTTTTTTTCATCTGTGCTCTTAAAAAGTAGACTTAGGACCAGTGCAGAAGTGGTTCTAATTGGAACTTAAATAATTCAAGAGTTCCTCAAGGTGCAGGACTGCTCAGAAAGTATACTGTAGAAATTACAGGTTTCTCAGACTGATGGCTATTATTATTATTGGGGGAAAAAGCACACACTTTGTCATCTAAGGGAAGAATGATACAGATAAATGTAAAGTCAGAAAGAAATACTTGTGTTCCTACTTCTCTTTTATCAAAGAAGTAGACAGATCAATACATTAGAGGGGAAAGCTGAAAATTACATAGTATTAGTTTCATCCTTTGAGGCTTCTACCCAGTAAAGATTAGAAAGGAATCACTTGTTAGGTCTGTTTGGGTTTTAACTGTTTTTTAAACTTTTCTTCTGGTAGTGAAAGGATGGACTACTGGTGTGCTAAACATGGCACTTCTTGCATCCACAGTGGCCAGGTCTGCTCATTTATTTGTTGTTTTGTTTGCTGATGATTGTGGGCATAGTCTACGAGTCTGTATATGATGCCAGATTTATCTACCTGGGTTCCAAAATGTTAGAAGCAATAGGTACTTTCGGAACCTTCCTCACTTCCTGTGGAAGATTACTGGGACTTTGTAACTCCTGAGCTAGGAATGTCTACTCACATAACTAGTATTTAAAAATATCTTTTTAGTTATTCAAGCCAGTGTTCTGCCAATCATAGAATTAAAGCAGTATAGTTATGTCAATAGTAATTTTTGCAGCCTTCTGAGTACACACTGTATCAGTAAGACAGTCTCTACCATTTTGGGGATGAAGATGTTTTCTTAATTAAAGGGCTAAATACTTCCCAAGTCTATGGAAGCTGCTCAGTATCTTACCAGCTTGGATCCATCTATCCCTGCTTCAAACTATATATACTGATTTTGTTGTTTCACCCACACAGTTAACTGATAGTGGAGTGCAGTTATGGGTAACATATCCAGTTTTTCCCTTTCCAATGTTCCTACACTGAGTAGAGGGGTCTATTTGCCTCTTTACTGTATGTTCTGGAAGTCTTCATTCTGTGATCCAAACCCTAAAAAGCCCGTGTAGCCATGCAGTTTTGTCTTGGAGTGTGTGCATTTCTGTCACAACTCCAGGCTTCCTTCACACCAGTCATGGGCATTCTGACCTTTCCAGGACTTAGTATTTGTGCTTTGAATAGATGTTTCTGGCTAGATGATGTGTTGTGCCAGTAGCAATTCAAATAATTCTTGGTATCCTGCATATCCTCTTTGAAAGTGGCCTTCTTAGGCCAGCAGACCCAGCTTGGAAGATCTTCAGAATATAGAAAAAAGGTGATGATGTCGACTGTTCTGTTAACTTGTGTTTCTCAGGGAAAGCCACCACATAGCTCAGCCCCTGTGGTACTAGGCCACAAACTGAAGTCCCAAAAGAAGTTCTTCTCTCTGGGTTACATCATTAACACTTCAGAGAACACCATGGCAGCACTCAGACAGACTTAATTCTAAATCAAACCATCATCTGGAGTGAGCAGCTTGTGTTTCGCCTGTCAAAAAGGTTCTGCTAAGTAACTAATGTGGTCCATCTCTTTTTAGGCCAGAGAGGTTGCCATGGTAACCTATTCAAATGTAGATAGATATGCTTTTGAGTCATCATCAGAGCCTGGCTTTGATAGTACAAGGTTTGGATTGACAGCCAGTACTGCATATTGTGTAGGTTGGCACGCCTCTGGACCAGAAGGTCCTGGAATTGCTGCTGTTGCTGCCGGATGAGGCTTGCTACGAAAAAAACATGTACAGCTCCCTGCTCCCTGCATTTTCTCCGATATTCTCCTCAATGGCAGTCATGTATTCCTTGGTGTTCTCACTCTATAAAGAGGTAGGTTGAAGATCACACTCCTACATATGACAAGTTCCTCAGTTTAAAAGTCCTTCCCCAAAACAATGGAGTTTTTTTGGGGGAGGAAGCCTCTGGGAAAGAGGCTGTGTTACTTATTTTAGGGGAAACTGTGTTACTTATTTTAGGGGAAATGTATACTTTGAAATAGTATCACAGAAGTCCTTCTGAAACCACTTTCCATGATAAATACATTTGTAGGAAAGCAGTTTCCTGTTAAAATCAGGCATCCTGAAAAATTTCAGTTCTTTAAAACTTTTGCAAAACAAGTGCCACAATGTCAAATGTTTCCCATCTGTGAGCTTCTTTACATCCTCAGTTTCCAACTCCTAGAGGGATCTGGTTTCCCTGTGTTTGAAAAAGATGAAAAAGACATTATGTTAATTTAATCATAAAATTTCACTCACATCCAGAAGGACTAGTACAACACAAGTCATGTCTCTAAAAATTTGTATTTGGTTCTGCTGATTGTAACACAGCTAAGTTGAATTTACGTACACCTGTTCAATGTAAAGCTTTTGCTTCTCTGTAGGAATTCCTGGAAGTCAAAAACTGTCCTCAACCCTGTTATAATCAGGTCCTTCTTTGGCAGCTTCTTTTGAAGCTCACCCAGTGATACAAAATGAAATTTCCTTACTCCAGTTGTGCAGCAGAACCTACCTCTTTGCTGGCTAAAATGGAAACTTTGTTCCTGACGTCAGCAGAAACCTTTATGTGCTCCCTCTAGAGGGATATTTCCTGTGAAGCTCCAACACGTGGTATCTGCAGTATCCAGACTTCACAAATCTGTTCAAGAAAGTTCTTAGAAGTATGTTCTACTAGGTACCTACATAAGCAAGAAACCGCCTGCTAGCTAAGATTAAGAAATTGTGACAAGTTCTACATTACATTTCTCTAAGCTTGCCACTTAGGGCATTTCATCATACCTAGAAATCATTATTTGAGCAGCACAAGCAAGAATGCTTGGTTGTCTATCCCTTTTTCCTCCCAGATCCTCTATCCCCTCCCAGTCCAATACATTATTTCAGGTTTTCAGATTCCCTTAGTACCTCAGACACTGAACTACCCCAAAGCTCCAGTATGTGACCCTGCACTATCTGTTGAGCAATTAGAACTGTAAACTGTGATTTATTTGGGTTACACGTATAGAGCTTGGCCACTTAGCCAACCAAACAGAAGCATTAGCAGTTCAACTTGAAGAGTTCAGCTTTTCCCAAAGTGAGAAATGGTTAACTAATTAACCAGGATCAATTCTCAACCCTGCATCAGTTTTCACAGAACTTCTTTGAACCTCTTTTATTCAAGACCTCCGCCCAAGAAGGGTCTGTCAAATCACAAGGTGGCTGATCATTATTATTAAAAAAAAAAAAAATATGAGAGATGGGTCTAATCAAAAGGCAGTCCACTCAGTCCAATGAAATCAGAATGAAGAGTTTCTTTCCAGTATGCCTTTACTGTGAGGGTGGTGAGACACCAGAACAGGTTGCCCAGAGAAGCTGTGGCTGCCCCATCCCTGGCAGTGTTCAAGGCCAGGCTGGATGAGGCTTTGAGCATCCTCATCTCGTGGAAGGTGTCCTTGTCTGTGGCAGGGGGTTGGAACTGGATGATCTTAAGGTCCCTTCCAACCCAAACCATTCTATGATTCTATGATATAAACCAAACCAGCTGTGTGTACATTACCTTTATTTCAGACTTGGATCCCTGGCTATCCAGAGTGTTGTGGTCCTTGAGTGTATTCTGTGGCACTGCTAATGTAGGCTAATTGCTATGTGGGCTAGTGCTCCTTTTTTGTAGGGCACACTTTTTAGGGGCCTGCAGCTTCACCTCTGTGAGCTATTCCAAGGAACTGGCAAAGCAGGCAAGGTTGGTGCTGACCTTATGCTGAGAATACCCCTGCCTTATCATGATCACTCCTGCATGCCAGCGGCACAGCCAACCAGGCCTGTGGTATCAAATCCCACAGGGGTAGTCCAGCCAGAATGGAACTACTAAAATAGCATGTCAGCTGCCAGGCAGTGTTTTTCTGCTAGTGCGAGGATATCCCTCAAGTATTCCTGCTATAGGCTCCCCAGGCTGGCTGTAACAGTCTGGGAAGGGCAGAATGCCACAAGCACCTGTGGGGGAAGCAGGTGTGGACACAAATCTGAAACCGGGGTGGGAAGAATAATGTCATATAAACAATTCGGTGCTAGCATGTCAGCCAGCTCACTCTTCCTGTGGTTAAGTCAGGTCCCAGTCCCCTCTAGAGGTGTAATAGGGGGGATGAGTCCAGAAGGTCACTAGATGGTTTGTGGTGAGTTAGGCTGACTTGACTCTGTTGGACCTTCCAGTTTTCCATTCCCATTCTTTTAAAGAGGCTACGGGGCTACCTATGTCCTAGCATCAATGTTAGTGACTTCTACCCCAAAGGGGCTCTATTATTAAACTACTTGCCTGCTGAACTCACCTGCTAAGTTAAAAAAAAAAAAAAGGTTTGGAGAAGTGTCAGTTCTCAGGAAATCAGAAAACTTTGTGAGGGGTCCAGACCCTCCCCAGAAGAGTGTTCATTTATTCAGCAGAGATATGTTTGTGAAAAGACCTGACCAAAAATGGCTTGAACCATCCCCAAACCAGTTCAGGAAATCCTGAGCTGGGCCAGATGCTTGTGTTTTGGCAACACTTGCTGGGCAAGAACTGGCCTATAAGCGTTACAGAACAGATAGTTGAATAGTTGCTCTTTATTAGTGGTTTTCCCTTTCTGGGAGTGTGTATTGGCATGTGTTGTTGCACTAAGGTCAGTTCCAGGTTTTATATATTGAGTAAATCTGTGGCAACACAAGACACACAGCTAGTACACAAGTGTGCTACAGCTGTCTGAAACTTCTGCAGTCACACTGATTTGTTTAGGATACGTTTACACAATGACAAAGTCGTAACTACAGACTGAATAAACTTGTGGTCAAGTGTTGTCAGTGTCAATGTATTTGGAGATTTTTAAATAAAGTCTTAGATCTAGTTTAAATATAAATGTCTAAAATCTGCATTTTGGCTCTTAAACAGTGGTTTAAGATGCTAAGCATGTTGAACTATGTTTGACTTTATCCATCACTACTGTCAGTCACATCAGCTTCTGTTATTTGTATGCAAATACTATAGACCTCCTTCCGCTTACCTTATTTCTGCACCGGTATTAATTGTGGAAGCCTTATACAATTATATGATGTATGGAAAAAAGTGTTTTATATTGGGGATGATGGACTGTCAATAAGCATTGGTTGCATAAGTGAAGATGAGGTGTGGTGTTTGCTTAAGTGCTGTGAAACTTGATCGTGAGTGGAAGAGAAAAAGGACTTCTGCTTTTCTTTTGTTGCTGGGTTTTATGCATCTGCACTGGTGTTTTTTCATAAACTTTCACAAAAAATCTGTCATTCACAAGAAATCTGCCACTTTTTACATTGTAGAATGGACTGGGTAAAGGTGGCAAGTCTGTGGAAATGTGAAAGATTTCATTCAGCAGCAGCTGCTCATGAAACTCACTATGCCAGTGGCTGCACAAACCCACTTCTTTGTTCTCTGTTAAGTGCATTGCCCATAAATTCTTTCCCTTCTGGAGAATAAAATTAACATAACTCTAGATAGCTAATATTTTTATGTGTAGTGCCCATCGAGTTTATGAATGCACAGACTATCATGCTTATGAGTGCACACATCATCGAGTTTATAAGCATTGCACATAACAGTTATGCTCACAGCACATAAAGTTTATCTCTTGGTATATAAACTCAGTTATGAAAAACAAAACCTGAAAAATTACTTGATTCACATTTTTTTCCTTCACCCTTCCAACCTGTATGTCATAGCTATGAGGCTCAACTGAATTTTGTATGTATTGACTGAGGATTTTTTTCCCCAGGCATGTGAAATTGGGACTACTGTAGCCAAGTTTCAGGCAGAACATAATTTTGAAGACTTCCAGTTAAAAATTACAACAAAGCTAAAGAATATAGAAAATTCAAAGTGCCTAAAAACTAACTTGTGAATACTCACAGCAGAATCCTACTAACTTCAGAGAAAATCCCAAACATGTTAATTTTTAATTTTTTTAACACAACCTTATCTTTGCTATAGCCAAGATGTGTCTCTAGTAGCGTAAGTATATAAAAAATGACGGTAACATATCTACTCTGACTTGTAAAGTTTATGTGTATCAGTATTGAATGTAAATCCCATATTTCACACTTAGAAGTCTGAATTAATACATTTTCTGAAGAACCAGACTACATCCATTTAATAAAGTAGTAATTACACAGTGCCAATTGTCTACATGGGAAACTAATGATAGAATCATAGAATAGTTAGGGTTGGAAAGGACCTTAAGATCATCTAGTTCCAATCCCCCTTCCATGGGCAGGGACACCTCCCACTAAACCATGTCACCCAAGGCTCTGTCCAACCTGGCCTTGAACACCACCAGTGATGGAGCATTCACAACTTCACTGGGCAACCCATTCCAGTACCTCACCACTCTTAGAGTAAAGAACTTCTTCCTTATATCCAATCTAAACTTCCCCTGTTTAAGTTTTAACCCGTTACCCCTTGTCCTATCACTACAGTCCCTAATGAAGAGTCCCTCCCCAGCATCCCTATAGGCTCCCTTCAGATACTGGAAGGCTGCTATGAGGTCTCCACGCACCCTTCTCTTCTCCAGGCTGAACAGCCCTGAAAATGAAAACGTAATGAAAAACAGTGCTCAAATTGTCACAGGTACTTTATACCTGGAATGGACATTTCCTACATGAAACAGAGTACCAAACACTGTGTTACGTAGCTCATCTGCTTTATAACTGCTAACTCTCCCTTCCTGGTACTTAGCTACTCTAAATAATACTCTCATTGCTAGGTTAATGCCAGTGGTCACTGAACAGGGCAGTTCCCCAATACTTTGAAAAGCCAGCTCCCCTGATCAAATGGTCAACTAGATGAAATAAGATGTATTTGAGTTGTGCTATGGGAAGTTATTTACTTTTTATTAAACTAGACAAAGTCCTAATATTACAGAACATCATAGGATGTATCTTAAGATGTAAAGCAAGACCTGACAATCCTAATCCAAAAAGCAAAGCAAAAGCAGTATTTATCAAAAGAAGCCTGATGCCCAAGACTAGTCTTACAGACACTTTTACTGAGGCTGAATTCCTGTCTGTACCATCTGACTCTATCATCTCCTTAATCTCAGAGATCTCTTCTCCCCACCCCCTCCCCATTTGTACCTATCTCCTTGCCTGCAGCAACCCTGCTCCTTGTCCTCTCATATTCAGTGAGTTATCTGTCTCGTCAGAACCTCAGCAGCAACAATGCTGAAGAGACAGAAGAGACATTCTCTCCACTGGAGGTGTGGGTGCTGGAGCAAGCAACTTGAATTAGTCCGCTTCTGTATTAGTTGGAGAAGCAGGAACTTTGGAGAAATCATCAAAGTTTCTACTGTGCCTGGGCAACTGCCATTCTTTAGACATCTGTAATTTTGCTTGGAGATGATAATATGAAGGATTGTCCTCTTCTGCCCTGTGGAGAGAATCAAGTTTGTTTCTAATAGGTCTCAAAGTCAGTGTTCAATAAGCCAGGCACAGAATATAATCAACTAATACACATGGTATGTAGTCACTGAGACCAGATTCTCTTGTATGTAGGATGCAGAACCATATTCTACATATGTGGACTGCATCGGGTGTCTTGGACATGCTGTACATGTGTGCACAGTGGTCAGAGCCTTGGGCACTCATAATATGAAATCTGGAGTAAACCTGAAAGGAACAGAACTACTCTGACACCAGGGCAGCACCTATACTGATTAAAATCTGGTTCCAGAGGACTGAGTTTTCAGTTAAAAGTCTAAGGGTTGTACACAAATCTAAAAGAACACATTTCTTCCTAATTTCATCCTGAGAAACAGCTGAAACCTTCCTGGACTTGTTTTTTGTGGTTTTTTTTTTTGGGGGGGGGTGGGAGGGGGTGTTGGGGCGCTTTGGGGTTTTTTGTGTCCAGAACATTCAGGCTGAGTTCAGGCTCAGGCAAACATCCAAACAATTTTTATTTGTTTGTTTTCCATTGTTTATAGGCTTGCCAAGCTTTAACTGTCCTGTGTGTTGCATCAGGCTGACACCTCCTCCCCCCTTTATTTTTTTAAAGGGGAAGGAGTAGGAAGAATTTGGGGCATTTTAGAAAGAGTAGTATTTTGGTGTTGGAAATGTATAAGCAACTGGAAAAACAAGAGCAAGTTTAAAAGGCTGGAAACATAAGCAGCAAAAATATTTCTAGTTTAGATTTTCACAAGAAAAAACTGTCTTTTTCATGTTGCTTTCCAGGGTAGTAAAATCAGTGTGTAATAAATTATGGTACATATACAAAACTCTGCATCATCATTTTTACACAAACCCCAGATAGCACTAAGCATCATCTACCTCTTAGCCAAAGAGACAACAATATACATTTTTTTTTACAGGCAACAGACACGTGTCACTGTATGTGCTCCACAGAAGAAAAAATTCAGAACTAGGGAAGTTTTCCAAGCATTTGTTGTTCCTTTTCCCAACAGTATCATAAACTACGAAACAGGGCTTTCTGCAACAACTTCCAGTTGCATCTCAAAATTATGACATTGACTTTGCCACTGTTAAGTTCTGAGAGAAAAGGTGTTAAGTCACTGCTTCTTCCAAGCCAACAGAAGCAACTGAGAGATTGAACATGACTCCCACAGTACACCTTCTTTTACATGTTTCATTTTAGGGTTAGAAGAAGAATATTATCTAATTATTTATATTATTTAGAACACTTATTTATAATATATATATTGTTTATACTATGTATCCTATACATTAATGATATCCTATTAACAGTATATGGTATTATCTATTGTAAATATAATATTTAAATAAAATTCACCTATTCAAGAATTAACCATATTCCTAGTCAAGTGACAAGGTTTCTGTGTGACACTGATTTTACACACCTGTGATAGAGACTGCAATTAAGTTCTGGAGTTTACATACCACTGATGGAGTCACTATCCCTTCCTAGATGTCTGATCTTCTAAATGTGGTCATCTTTCCAGTGCCCTGCTAGTGTAGGGAAGACACAGGGCCTGGACCTGCCACCTCCAAAATGGCACAGCATCTGCAACAGAAATGTCAGTGGCAGAATGAATAGTTAGAACCAAATTTAAGGCCATTACTAAGGGTGTAAGGTAACTTTGCGAGGAGCATAATCAGCACTACAGCAGCTTGATATTCATATAGGACTGTAAACGATTTTAGCTATATATAACCTAGAATGAGTAGTGTTTCTTGCTGCATCAATACAGATATTTCAGTTTTAAATATCTCCAGCATCAAAATAAAGATTTATTTTCTTCAGACTTAGATTGTTTTCCTTAATGGTGCCACAAGCCAAATTTCATCTTTTCCATCATGATTGTGTGACATTTCAAATGGTGACTAACAGAAAATGTATTTTCCTTCATGCTATATGAGTAAAAAATAACTGATTTGCTTAAGTTTCCCAGTAACTCTCTAGTTGAAACAAAGCATACAAAGCTCCAGTGCAAAAGGATTTTTAATGAAGAAGAAGAGAAAGTAGAAAGGATAATCAACCTTAGCTAATACAGTTCAATGCAGCAAGCATTATAATCTGGTGAATGTGCAACAGCTGATGAGCAAAAATGAGCATCTTTGATACAATCTGTTTTCAGGTTACCTTTATGCAAATGAATAAAAAAGGTTTCAATTCAAGCTGCATTGAGGTAATATGCCATGTCCTACCATACACGCATAAGGAGAGAAGTTGTGAGTATACAACCACAAAGGGGGAAATTACACTGTCTTCTTCTCATGAGACAGTCACGCTCCCTCTTGCATTCTTACCTCCCACATTTGCACTCTTGTCTTTTCTGTTTCTCAAAATGGCAGTGGCTACCTTAAAACAAAACCAAACCAAAACAAAACAAAAAAGTATTTTGGACAATTCATGAAGATTTTCCTTTTATTTTTGGAGAAGGATCTTGAGGTGCCTCTTTTTACACAAGGAGGTATCCTTTTTTCCACCATGTGCTCGCTCTTTCTTTTCTTGCTTTCTAAGTTAATTTTCTCCCTCTGCTCAGTGATACACCTTTGTAGCCAGCAGCTGTCCCAGTCATCACCAGCAGAACACTCAGACACCAGCATGCCTTCCCTGCAGAGGGCTGCTGTGAGGTGTTTACACATGGGTGACCTACTTCACTGCGTAACTGGTTTTGACACTACTTTCCAGCTATATGGATTAAGATTTTTAATTCCTGAAGACATCAGTGTTTCTCCCAACCTTTTATGACTCTGATCATAGTAAAATAAAATCCACCACGGAGTGTGTCCAAAGGAGGGCGATGAAGATGTTGAAAGGTCTTGAGGGCAAGACTTACAATGAGCAGCTGAGGTCACTTGGCTTGTTCATCTTTGAGAAAGCTCAGAGGTGCACTCAACAGTCCACAACTTCCTCTAGGGGGGGCAGTGGAAGGGGAGGAGGTGCTGATCGCCTCTCCACGGTGACCAGCGATAGAACACAAGGAAATGGAATGAAGCTGTGTCAGGGGAAGTTCAGACTGGACATGAGGAAAAGGTTCTTCACTGAGAGGATGGTCAGTCACTGGAACAGGCTGCCCGCAAAAGCAATTATAGCACCAATCGTGTCAGAGTTCAAGGAGCACCTGGATGATACTTCTAGTCACATGGTTTAGTTTTCGGTAGTCCTGCAAGGAGCAGGTAGTTGGACCCCATGATCCATATGGGTCCCTTACAACTTGAGATATTCTACGGTTCTGTGATAATGTTAAACTTCATGGTTTCTTAATCTTCTCTTTTCTATAGTATTTGCCTGACAAACTGCAATATTTGGAACTTCAAACTCATCTAATTTGGTATCTGGTTTCCAGCAGCAGCCAATAAAGGATGCCCAAGGAAGAGCTTACAAACAAAGTAAGCATGTTACCTTCAAGCATTACCAGTGTCCAGTAATCCGTGGTTTGGAGGTTTCTACAATGTGGATAGTGGGGGATGTTTTCTTATTTAACAGTCCTTATATTTAATGGACTTTTCTTCTGTTAATTTGCCAGTTGGGTTTATCTCCTAAACCCTTTGCATCTTGCAGCAACCTACAGTATCTTGCAGCAAAGATTGCCTCTGCTTAAAATCATGTAAAGAACACAACTTTTTTGTTTCGAACATGCCTCCTACCAGCTCCATTAATATTCTTAGTACTCATGTTGCAAAACAACACTAAGTGTCTCCATCTTTATCTGTTCTCTGCCGCTGGTGATTTTGTAGACCTCTGTTGTATCTCCCCATAGTCATCTGTTTTTTTCAGTGTTAACAGCCCATAGGTATACCTCATACAGAACCATTCTGTTTTCTCTGATTATCCTTGTTAAATCTTTTCTGAATCACTCCTAGTTCTATTATGCTTTTTTTTGAGATGTGAAGGAAAGAACTGTACATACTATTTAATATGCAGAGAACTATGGATTGATACTGGGGTGGATGTGCTACAATGTTCTAGTTTGTTCTGTTCCACTTTTAATAATTTCCAGTATTTGATTTGCTTTTCTCAGTAAAAGGGAACATTGTGCTGATATTTTCATAGAAATATTCATTAAAACCCAAGGATCTCATTTCTGAGTGGAAAATCAGCTTACAGCCCATCCTTGTATATATAATTTTTTTCCCTTGTGCACTACTTTACACAACTGTATCAAATTTTATCTGCTATTTTATTATCCAGTCACTCAGCCTTGTAAGGTGTCTTTAGTTCTTCACAATCACCCTTTCAACTGCATCACAATTTGTCCTCTACCTTTCCTTTACCTGAATAGCTTAATATCATTAGCAATCTGTGATATTTCACTGCTCACCCTCTTTTTCTAGATCATTTATGAATACATTAAGCAGCACAAGTCACAGCACAGGTCCCTGCAGACTCTTCTTGTGATCTCCCTCTATGAAAACTGACCTTTTATTTCTGTTTTACTTCTGTTTCCTGTCATTTAGCCATTTTTTGATCCATTCCTCTTGCTGCTTCTTGTTGCATAAAGATGCATTTTTTATTTATTTATTTTTTTAATGATGCTTTGTCTGGGAACCTCATTGTCCCTACAAATCCTGGTAACTATTAGATATGACATCTCCCTTGTCCACATAGATCTGTAATCCTTGATATAATGCAACAAAAGCTATATTGTCATATTTATTATGCGTACAGTGATTCTGCTCTGTAGGACAGATATTACTTACTCAGCATAGACAATGCAACAGGCTCACTTGTGTGTAGTTGCCTGGTTCTTCGTGTTTGCCTTTGCCACCTGGTTAGCAGGGAAAGGCTACACACTGCAGTTAGTAAGTCAGCTCTTTGATACTCGAGTTTTCTTAGAACTCCTAGATGTAGTCCACCTGGTCTCTATGATGTCTTGCTTATTTTATCTGCCTTGCACTTATGTTTGAGACAGATATGCTAAATGCCCCATAATGCCAAGTTCCAGCTGTTGCACTGTGAACACAGATGCAAGAACTTGAATGTCGTCTTCTCTTACGGTCTTGCTTTCTCTGAGTGTTCCTTTTACACCTTGACGATCTGCAGGGCCTACCCACTCTTTGGCAAGGCTTCTGTTCCTGATACTGCTTGGGTTTTGGTTTGATTTTGGTTGGGCTTTTTCTCATGCCTTGGCAAGTCAGTCCTCAAGCTCAGTTGTGATCTGCCTATCATGTTAAGGCAACAGAATTTATGAACTCACAGGTTTTCTGCATTTCCAAAAGTTTCCAGAAGACATCTTCTCGCGTCTACTAACCTTCTTTACCTTGTTTAAGCATACTGGCTTCCTCTTCTTCTGTGCCTTTCTTTATAATGTTCTGAGAAGCTGGAGTAGCCCCTTATTAGCAAGAGGATGTAAACTAGGTTTCTCTTAAATACCAGAGAATAGGCCTAAAGGCCAGAATTCACCTTGCAGAAGAGTTACTCTTCATCTTTCTGTCAACAGAAATTTTCTTCTCCATAATTATAGGACTCTTTCTCCTCTGACATTACTAGTCAATGCCAAGGCCTCTCAACCAGCAGCTGAGGATTTCTCTGCAATGTTGAGAGATCTAAAACTGGAAAATAGAGTGGTTTTTAAAGAAGAATCTTATACATATACTTGCTTTATTGCCTGTGAAAATTATTGGCTAACTTTACTGTGTACATGTGTGTGTGTGTATATGAAAGTTAAAGATGTCCACACTGTTCCTTACCCTATTTTAAAATACTGCCATACAAACATTAAAAATGCATAGTGTCACTCAGCATTTTCCGATGGTATCTTTTAGCCACCATATATAAAATATGCCAAGAAAAAAGCTATTTTGAGGAACAAGCTACCTGGTTTTGCTTTTATGTGACAAGAAAACTGAAACCGATCTGTGTACAGATCAGCTAGCTCCCCAGTCCAACAGTCAGGATAGTGAGGTTGTAAATATCCAGTCATTAACAAACCTTAAATTGCATGCCCACTTACATACTCCTTACAACTAGCAGAAAGAAACAACAGTGGATAAAAACTAATCCATAAATTGTAATTTTAGACATGGAGGTTTAACAGCGATTTATATCACATTACAATGTAAACACCTGAGAATACTGATATCAGGTTCTGATGTTTTTTTTCCAGTCCAAAATCAATATTTAATAAAAAATAAAGAGTTCTGTTTCATTAAAGTCTCCTTTGAGGCCTCTACAAAACAGCTAGGCAAAGCTGATTGATTATAAAAGCTGACGTAAAATGTGCAATTTATATTGCATTATTAGCAAGCACATACGCTCATTTCCTGAGAAAATACAGCAATTTCTGTTCCTTTAAGTGGTTGCTCTGACCCAAGTACTGGGCTTGATGACCAAAGGAATAAAAAAGTTACCAACTGAGATCAAACTAGTGGGTTGACTGACCCAAGATATTGTTATCTACATAAGACTTGTCATATGGAATATCCAGCTCACAGATAAATTTTGGGGAAGATTTTCTGTTTAATATAATCTTGGATACATTCAGTATCTATATAAATATCAAATTATTTTTCAAGTCCTATCAGCATTCAGAAAGTTAATTTTACACATTTATCATGTGTGACTTAAATATTATTTTAACATTTTTTTTTTTTTTAACACTGACTACTTCAATTTATTGCTGCTGGCAGAAGTTTCAGTAGGAGAGTGCAACTTACTTTCTACTGCGTTTACATATTTCTACCATGCTATAGTCTATCTGGCAACTTAACAAACAGTTCCTTTATATGCATCAGTTCTCACACAGAAGTCTGCAAATTTTACTGTTTTGTTAAGAATTTCTTTTTCCACATTTTTAAAGCTATCAACTTGCACATTATCAAACACAATCAATCCCACAACACCCAGTATCAACTTTTTGCACTACAAAAAGTTACCATTTATTTCCATGGGTTGTTTTCCAATCCTTAAGTATTTCTTTTTCAGGATAAGGCCTCACCTGACACTATTTTATTTTCCTGACAGACTATTTCAGTAATTTTTTAAATGTCTATATCACATGTTTTGTTTCATCTACTGTTGGTTGTCAGCCCCTGCATATGTCATATTATTTTTCCATATTTGCTAATTCTTTTGAGAGGGAAGTAAAGCTCAGTGTAATTTTCAGTAATTTCAAGCCCTTTTTAAACTATCTAATGACATTTATTCTAAGGTAATTCCTTTAAAAAATGTGCATGGCAAATGAGTTAGTTCATTCTTCAATACCTTTGAAATTCCTTGACTAGTATTACCTCATTTATGGAATTATATGCATTTAGTTTCTTGCCTTCCTATCACCATTTCCTGCTTTTTTCAACACCTCAGCTTCCAGCACTGCTTTGTTGCCTGGCACAATAAAATTTAGGTATCTATCTTGACATTTCCTGTAACACATCAGTTTGCAGTGGTTTTACTCTCTTCAGAAGAGTCATCATGCTGCCACTGAAGTTAACACAAAAAACTCTATAGGTTTCAGTATCTCGGAATCTAGTCCTTGTTCTTTTTACTTTCTAGTGGCTGAATATGGTCCTTAATTAACATGGACAAAGAATGCACATCAGCATTCTTCTACTCTACTTATGTCTCTTGTTTCCAAGCCTTTAAGCATTTACTTTCATTCTACCTCTACCTCTCAATTTTAACATGCTGTACTGTTTGGCTTTTTTTTAGACCTTTTATATGGACTTTTCCTCAGCTTAGTTTCATCTTGACTAGCTCTTTCCACATTCACATTTGAACAAATAGGTGTATTTTGTTGCCTTCTGTAGCCTTTTCTTGTTTATATATATGATATGCATAGTTCTTTTAAGTCTGATATACTTTAAAGGGTAAGTTTTAATGAAAAAGAATTTTCCATGCAATGGGAAATGTTTTAGAAAACATTGATAAGATTTAACATGTACATAGTCCCTGTATGTGGTACACAGATTTTAATTTCATAATCTTCCTCATTTCTGATGCATTCAGAAACACTACCACTTATGTGTCACAGTGCTGGGATTTGGTATGATTTCTCCACCAAAGATAATGAATTTCAATATGCTTCCTGTTGTTTAGTGTATCAGTTACAGTTATTTCTTCAGCTAACTCCTTTTTTAGTTAGGAATAAAGAATAGCTTTTCCACTCATGTGCGCTAAAAACAATTTTCAGTTTATCAAACATATATAACATTATAAAAACCATGTAGTGCTCTCTGAACTTGTCCAATAACGAACAGTATTCGGAATTACTGTTTTACTAGACTTTATTAGACTTAATAATCTCTGATCTCTTTCAGTAGTATATACTCCATATATATACATACTTGTCTGATGGCAAATAGTGAACTTTCAAGTACATTTCTATTGTGACTATTACCTGTACAACTTCTCCCATTGGATTCCTGAAGTATACCATTGTTGTCTAAGCAAAGATTTCAAAACTATTAAAAAAAAGCAGAAACCCCTATGTTTCAGCTTCCCTATGGACATTTACCCAAATTGCACAGACTAAATTTTGCTTGTTTCAAGTTATGAATGCTATCATTCTGCATCACTTAGTGTGTACATTCGTATCTGGGTTGAGGCAAATATAGAAGCCTGATTATTCTGAACAATTTAAAAGTATTTATTAAAATTATGTCCCAAAGGAGATCAGTTTCATGCATAAAACAAATGTATGTATCTTTCCACTGAAGTTAATATGATTTTTCCATTTAGTTTCAGTTCAGGTTTATGTTACCTGAGTTTCCTAGTTCAGTTCTGGTTCAGGCTCAGCAAAACTCAAAACCCACTGAAGTTCAAAGTTTGGGTTTGGTTAACTTCACCAGCAGTATCACATCCAAGATGAATTCAAGCAAAGTATGTAGTCTAGTTCTTTGTGATAAATTCAGGAAAAAACAGAATATATTTATTTAATCTTATTCTCACAGCTGAATACAGCACTGCATGAATTAACAACAGCAGTTATAGAAATGAAGTAATAAAGGGCTGTCATATCAAAGTAGCTAGTGCATTTCTAAATTAATTCAGACCTCCCAAGTAAAACTATGTTAAAGGAAACCAACACCCCCAAAATAATGAAAAAATTAAAAATTATTAAAAAAAAAGAAAAAAGGGGGAAATAAAAGAACTACTTCAAGGGAGGGAAATATTCAGTATGATCTTGTCATTAAAAATGCATATACAGTGAGAACACCTGAGGACTGCAGAATAACCCTACCATAATTACCTAACCTGTGATTCCTCAACTTGGGAATCTAACTAGCACCTCCAAATTCCTAAAAGCTGAAGAAACCAACAAAAATACCTTCAAAACTCTGCTACATGGCACAGCAGTGATCCACATGCACATAATCTGTTGGGAACATAATCTTCATCACAAACCACTGCTGCTTGAATTGCCCTGTAGCAATCCAAACAGATGAGCTGCCTTCCCACCTCCAGCCCACAGGCACCAATATTCCCCTGAGATGCCCCTTAATTCCTTTTCCCTTTTCATTCCTTCTGCATTTCCAGCCTGGAGCATGGCTGGGGCAAACAAAACACAGTTGCATCTTCCTGAAGGCCCTCCCAAACACTGGTCAAATGAAGCCTAAAAATTTTCAGTCTCTCCATTTGTCCATATTTGGAGTGGATTTTTCAAGTGGACAGAAGCAGCACGCTCGTGACAATGAGAGAACTCGGTGCCAAAATTCAAGACTTTGCTCTGAAGCTTGAACTGTTTAACTTATTTTGCTGAAATCTTTCAAAATAATTCAGCATTAAGTGGATACTCAGTAAAGAAGATTTGTAACTTGGATCAATCTGAATAAATCAGTTCCTAAAGAAATCACTTCTAGTTAGGCCTGAAACTAGTAATAGGACAGAAAAAAATAATACAAGATATGGTCACTAGATGACTCATGATCTTCCCCTCAAAGAGTCAGATTTTACTCTAGTGAACTTTTTTTTTTTATCTTGTGATAAAAATGGTCAAAAGGGGAAGGGTGATGATGACAAAGGAACAATAAAAATTGGTGTCAGATTTTGTCAAGCTGAATTGATGAGGTTGGTATGCGGCTAGGGCATCTCTTAGTCACTGTAACTAGTATCAGCTTGGTCCACGCATTTAGAAACATTGCTGGCCACATCTGCAAATCTCATTGTTTTGGCCAACAGCCTTAATAGTCCACCAGAACATACCTTGCATTGGCGGTCATAGTCATGAGGGAAATAACCAATGATGGCAAAGAAATGCACTATGAGTATTTAACTGTCAATAGAGAGAATGTATTTGGATGGCGCAGTCCTTGGGAGCCAGGGAGCTCCAGAGTAGTTTGTTTGTGATGATCTATGTTGCTAGGCAGATGGGCAGCTACAGCTTGTACCAATAGGAGCTTTTTCTGGACATGAGACTTCAGTTCCTAGAAATGAGTAACTGAAGTACCTTTAAAAAGAATGATAAACACTTGATTGTGAAAAATAGTTTTCTGAAGGCAACTATACTGCTTAGGCTGGTATTTTTCTATTTCTAGTTCTCCTCTGTCAGGGTAAAAAATAAAAATAAAAAGAAAAAATCCCTCTTTACCTGCCTCACAGTAACTAGTACCTAGCTATATGAGGCATGCTTTGATTACTGACATTCAGTAAGCAAAGTTAAGTGCTCCTTTCTCTTTACACTGACCACTTTCATTCTCTCTTCTCTGAAACTAACACTCAGGAATGACTCACATCTCTCACTTCTTTCCCCAAAACAAAAGATGCTCCTAATTATGAGAG